TCAGCTGCTCCTCTGGTTTAAGGGAGACTGTGATTGCATCCTGGAGAACCAGGGTTTTCCTACCCCAAGAAACTACCCGCCCCCTCCCCCCAGTTAGCCCCTCCCTCCCTCTTGGCCTGCCGGCTCATCTCCTTCAGGCCCCGAGTCAAGGCCAACTCCTGCTTGTTGACCTCAAGAGCATATGGCACACGTACACATTCCCGTGGGCGTGAGAGGACAGCCAGGAAGTCAGTGGCGCCTTCCCCTTGGGTTCATGGCTGCCCTGGGTGCCTGCAGGCCTCCCAGAATGCTTCCTGTCTCAAGGCCCAGGGCCTCGATCACAAAAACACCTCGCTCCAACGGGAGGTTTGCGAGGAGGCCTTCCGGCAGCCCAGCTGTGTTCGCCGGCACCTGCTCACCCACCAGGCGTCCTGTCCCTGCTCCTCTGTCCTGGTGGCTCAGGATCACGGGGGACCTGGCTCAGCACGTGCTGGTGCTCAGGGAAGACAGTCCATTACAGATGGGGCACAGAACGGACGTCTTTAGCAAGCGATCCGGCAATCCCCCCGGGTCTCCAGTTCCCAGCCGGGGGGTTGTCAGTTAAAGAACTAGGCTGCTCCAATGCACAAGGCTGCACTCCTTTCTGGGCCATTCTACCCAAGACTGCGCGATCTCCAGCTGCAGAATGTGCTGGAAGTCCTTGGGCGGAAGCAGGAGACACTTCCCAGGGCGATATCCTGTCTCTGAGTCCCTTTTAGTCTCAAGGGCCCAGGGTTTTTGTTTGATTGTTTGGTTAAGCCTCACCTGAGGATATGTTTCCATTGGTTTTTAGAGGGAGCAGAAGGGAGAGGGAGAGGCAGAGAGAAACATCGATGTGAGAGAGATACATCTATTGGTTGCCTCCTGCATGCACCCGGACCAGGGCCAGGGCACCTGCAACCGACATACGTGCCCTTGACCGGAATTGAACCCAGGACCCTTCAGTCCACAGGTCGACGCTCTATCCCCTGAGCCAAACTGGCTGAGGGTCCCGGGTTTTAACTCTGCACTGGGTGGACTTTGAGAAGGGGCGTTCACTCTCTGGCCCCAATATCCGCCTATAAAGCAGGAGTGAATGAGCCCCTCCTGTCAGCAGCCACATGGGAGTGATATGCCGAAGTCCGTGTTCCTGCCTGTTCTTTGTTCCTCCCGGGTCACCCATGTCGTCCTCACGGTGCCCCCAGGCTCAAGCGGTCACTCATGCTGACCGCCGTGGGTTGCCCTACACGTCCCGTGGCTGGAGCAGCTCAGGATAATGCCAGGCAGGTGGGCCAGGGCCCGCCAGGCCTTCTGTCCCGCGCACTCGCACGCCTGTGGATGGTGCGGCCTCATGATCTTGTCCCAGGAAAGAAGGGGGCGGGGGGGAGGAGGGAGGGAATGCTTCACTGTTGGAGGTGATTGCACTCATTCATTCATTCGTTCATTCATCATGTAACCAATATTGAGCCAAGCCCCTACCCTCTGAGACGTTGCCAGGTCCTGAGGATGGAAGGTTGGCCGGGACAGAGCTGGGCCGGGCCTTGGTGGAGAGCGGGAAGGGGGGAGTAAAGCGGGAAACTAGTAAACAAGCCAGGCCAGCGCAGCGGTGACAGGAAGCGGAGGAAATACACGGGGGGGGGGGGGGGGGGGGGGGCAGGGCAGGCGTCCCCGACCTGACCTCTGACACAGAGCGGAAAGGACCCGGCCCTGTGAGGGGAACAGCAAACACGGCGTCTCTGGGGACAGGAGAGGTTTGGGGGGCAGCCAGGTAGTGATGGGGACCAGTTCACACGGGGCCTGAGGGCTCTGGGTTTTATTCTAAATGCAGGGAGGAGGGTTTTAAAGCGGGAATGACCATTTCTGTGTGTGTGTGTGTGTGTGTGTGTGTGTGTGTTACTTTTTATTTATTTTTTATTGATATCAGAGAGGAAGAGAGAGAGAGAGAAAAACATCAATGAAGAGAGAGAATCACTGATCGGCTGCCTCCTGCACACTCCCCACTGGGGACTGAGCCCGCAATCCAGGCATGTGCCCTTGGCCGGAATTGAACCTGGGACCATTCAGTACGCAGGCCGACGCTCTATCTACTGAGCAACACTGGCCAGGGCTGTGTGTGTGTTCTGATGCTGCCATATTGCCATAGGGAGAGGGACGGGAGGAGGCAGAGGTGCTGGGAGCTGTCACCGTAAACCGTGGCTTGCAGTGGGCGGTGGCAGCCGTGGGCTGGAAGTGAGGCGCTTGCAGACAGTGGTCACCAGCCCCGACTCAGGGGTCAGGCCGGAGCAGGTGCCCTCCCGGCTCCCCGACATGTGGCTTGGACCACAGAGCAATCACATGATCTCGCCAAGCTTTGTCTGGCCCCTCGGCCCCCCCCCCCCCCATCTATACAACAGGCAACCTTGCGGCCCCTACCTGGTGGGTCTGCTCTGAGGCTGTGGTGCAGTTAGCAAGGGCTGGCACCATGGTAAGGGCTCAGGAAGGTGCCCATTGTTATTATTCCTGGGGGTGGGGGGGGTATGTGGGTCTGAAAGTCAAGAAAGGGATCTAGGGGGGAGAGTCCCATTGGGGGTGTCTGGGTCGTCCAGGAGCAAAGCTAACCCCTGGGGGGGGGCATATGGCACATGTGTTGTCAGGAGGGAAGGGGAGTTGGGAGGGAGCTACTCACATCTGGCGGGTAGATGCCAGGGAAGCTGCTCAACACCCTGCAGGCACAGGGCAGCCGCACAGCAAAGGCCGTCATGGTGCCCAAGCCCAGCAGCCCTGGTGTGGACAGAAGGTGTCGCTGCCCCTTTAAACCATGCGTACCCCTGCGTCTCCGCTGTCCCCACCTCCAGGAAAGCGCTGTCCAGTAGAAATTGAAGGCGAGCCACCCCAAACCAGTGGAAAGGCCCAGGGAAAATGGACATTAATAACATTCCTCACTGAGCCCAACAGGTCCAAAGTCCTATTGTTTCAAAATATAATCAGTATAAAAGTCATTCATGAGATGGGGTATACTTTTACTAGAAGTCTAGGAATCTGTGGGTGCCGTTTGGCCTGCAGCAGCCCCCTAAGGCAGGCAGGCAGGCAGGCAGGCAGGCAGGCAGGAGCCACCTGCAGCTTTTTATTTATTTTTATAAAATATGCACAAAATTCGTGCAAGGGGTTCGGCCCTTGCAGCTGTGGCTTCATCCAGAAGGATGTCTGGAAGGTCGTTCAGCTGTCCGGTCTAATTAGCATATTATGTTTTTATTATTATAGATTTTTATTTCAGAGAGGAAGGGAGAGAGATAGAAACATCAATGGTGAGAGAGAACCATTGATTGGCTGCCTCCTGCACGGCCCACATTGGGGATGGAGCCCCCATCCCCGGCAGGTGCCCTTGGCTGGAATCGAACCCGCTACTCTTCAGTCTGCAGGCCTTACCCCCTGAGCAAGCGGGCCACGGCGGCCACGTGCGCTTTTTAGATTTAAACGAAGATAAATCAAATTCCAGGTCCCCCGTGCGCAATAGCGCCACGTGGCGATTGGCTGTCCCATTGGACCGCGCGGACCTGACAGGTTCCAGCCTCGCGGGAAGCTCTCCAGGGCTGGTCCCGACAATAAGCCTCTTCTCTCCCTCTGCACCCCCCGCCCCACTTCCCGGGTGTCACGCGGCGCCGCCCCGAAACCGCGGACCCCGCCGCCTGCAGGGGACCCCGCGGCGTGCGCGTCACCTCCCGGCGCAGCTGGAGGTCTAACTGCGGGCGCCCCGGGTCTCCAAAAGCTCCCGCACCCGGCGCGACCTCCGCACGCCCGCCCACGCCGCCTCCCTGCCTCGGTTTCCCCGACCTCTGCACTCTGTGCCCGGTGCCATCAAGACGGGGCAGCTGCTATCCCTTGGGCCTCGAGCTTCCCTGCCCACTGGGAAGTGCCCCCGGCGCCCTGATCGGCTATGTCTGACCGTCTCTGGGCCTCAGTTTCCCCACACGCTGGTGGGAAAATAACGGCTCTGTCACCTGAGAACCGGGGGCGGCTTCTGGACCTCAGCCTCGCCGTTGGCCCAGACACGTCCGTCCCGCCCTGGGCTCGTTTGGGCGGGGGGCGCAGGGGGACCGCCCGGTGGAAAGGGAACAACTTGGGCGCGCACGCCCATTCCTAGTGGAACTTCGGGCGGACTCACCGCGCCCGACCCTCGTTTATCAACCGATCACCGTCACAGCGACCGGACGGTTCCTGTCGGGACTGTCGGGGAGCGGGGGGGCGGGCTTCCGTGCTTCCCGCGCCCTCCGCTCTCCCCTCCCCGCGGCCAGGCGCTGGGTGAAGGCGGGCAGTAGGCGGCGGAACCTTTGTGGCGGAGCGCGCGTTCCCAGCCGGCGCCCTTTCCCAGGGACGCCGCCGCTCCCCGCGCCCCCACGCCCGCGCCCCCTGCGCTCGCGTCGCCGGCGCCGCCGGCGCGGAACTCCCGGAAGTCTTGGTCCCGTCCCCGCCGGCGCTCGCGAGGGGGAACCCGGGCCTCCCGGGACCTCGGCCTGCACCTCCGGACCCGAGAGGCCGCCGCACCGGGTACGGGGGCCGGGACGGAGGAGGAGCCTGGCCCGGCCCGGGGACCGCGCAAAGCCGGGCGGGGCGGGGAAGGGGGCTGGCGCTCCCGGGTGGGGGTGGGGCGGGGCGTCGGTCGGAACCGGGGGATGGGGGTGGGGGGACGGAGGCGCAGCCGGCGGGAGGGGGCGAGGGGACCCCGGAATGCACCGTGGAAGGGGTGGAGGCCCCTGCTGGGCATAGCGGGGCTGGGGGCAGAGACATGGAGACGCCCGCTTCTCACAGGAGGGGGCGCGCAGGGGGCTGAGCGGAGTAGTTCCGGAAAGGGACTCCCGAGGCCGGGGGTGCTGACCGGGACGGGGAGGGGAAAGTGTGCGGGACCCTCGGTGGGGTCGGCGGATGCGGCACCCGCTGGTCCTGGAAGCGCAGAGGCGAAGAGCCGCCGATGGGTAGGGAGTGGGGCGAGGGGTGGAGGCCGTGAGGTGCTAAGAGAGGAGCCGCAGGGGAAAGTGGGGAACTAGGTTAGTGGGGCTCGGGGGGTGCAGCTGGAGAGGAAGGTGAGAGACGGGTTTACAGCGCACCTGGCGGGATGGAGAGCCAGGGGGGGCCTGGGGGCCCGAGAGGCGCTGCTGCAGGGTCCCGGGGGGTCTTGGGGGCTGGGAGGAAGAGGGAGCGAGCACCCTGTACCCCAGTCCCGAAGGCCCGGGGCCTGAGCTGAAAGGAGCCCAGAAGCAAAGAGGGGAGTAGACGGGGCCGGAGACGGGCTGTCGTGAGTAGGGAAATGGCAGGACGGTGCCCTGTGGGGTCGGGGCTGAGCGGAGGGCCCGCAGGAACAGGTGGGGGCCTGGGCGTGCCTTCAGCTGGCGGCGTCCCCAAGCGGCGTGGCACCGAGCGAGCCGGCTGCAGGCGGCGTCTTTGTTGCACGGAGGTGGGGCAGGGGTGCAGCACGAGAGGGGCACGCGTCCGCCGGGAGGCTAACTTCTCCCCCTTCCGTCGCCCCCAGTTGTCGCTCCAGATGCTGCTGCTGCCCCCGCGGCCGCCCCACCCTCGTTCCTCCTCGCCGGAGGCCATGGACCCGCCGTCCCCCAAGGCAGAAAGCCCTTCTTCCACGCCCTCCTCGGTGGCGGCGCCCCTACCCCCGACGCCGGCCCACCTGCTCATCGACGCCAACGGGGTCCCCTACACGTACACGGCGCCGCCGGAAGAGCCGCCCCCGAGCCCGCCCCCCCGCGAGCCGTCGCCCGTGGAGCCCCCGCCTCGCAAGGGCTACAACTGCCCGGAGTGCGGCCGCGTCTTTGCCAGCCCCCTGCGGCTGCAGAGCCACCGCGTGTCGCACTCGGACCTCAAGCCCTTCACGTGCGGCGCCTGCGGCAAGGCCTTCAAGCGCTCCAGCCACCTGTCCCGGCACCGCGCCACGCACCGCGCCCGCGCCGGCCCGCCGCACACCTGCCCGCTCTGCCCGCGCCGCTTCCAGGACGCCGCGGAGCTGGCGCAGCACATGAGCCTCCACTAAGTCCAGACCCGGCGCCGGGCCCCGGCGCCCGACCCGCACGCAGCGGCACAACCACACACTCCCCGGCGCTGCTGAGGCTACTGCCTTACCCCGGGCCTCAGTTTCCCTGTCTGTCCCGAGGGAGAACCGTCATTCCTGTCTCCGTCCCCCCCTTCCTCCCTGACTGTGTGATGTGAGCCCAGGCGCTGCCCACTCCCCCTCCTGGGCCGGTGCCCGCCCCGCGGTGCGCGGGAGCCTTTGCCAGTGACTTTCTCTGAGCCCTGGTGTCCTGCTCCAGTGGCGAGTGGTGGCCCGCGTGGCAGACTCGACAAGAGCACACGCACGGCTCCTCTGTATCCCCCTCCCACCCCGCCCGCACCCTGTTCTCAATAAACATTCCGCACTTCCCGGTGGAGTCCTCCTTTGCGTCTGGGGCGCGGGGCCGCCGCGTTGCGCTGCAGGCCGGGCCGGAGGCGCCTGGGAACCTTCCTGTCGGCGTGTGTTTCTGGCCGGAGCAGTTTCCCGAGGCCCAAGCGCCCCGCTCCCCTCCGTCCCCTGGACGCTCTTCTCTGTCCCCCGGCCCGCAGTCCCCTTACCGGCTCCGCCAGCCCCTGGGGGACCCGCGGAGGCCCCCGTCCCGCCGCCGCCGCCGCCTGCCACCGCGGGGGTAGCCCGGGCCGATTCCGGAGTCGCCCGGACTCGAGAGGCTGCTGCACCGGGTACGGGGGCCGGGAGGCGGCGGCGGGCGGAGGGGCGGGGCCGGGCGAGCGGGGCGGGGCGGGGCGGCTGCTCCGCGGGCTCTGCCCACAACTGGCGAAGAGGCCGGCGCCGGGCGCGGGTGGCCCCGGGGCTAGGAGGACCGGGGTGGACGGGCGCGCACGGGCGAGCCCGGCGGGAGCGGCCAGAGGGGTGCAGGGAGGTGGCCACGCGGTGGACGGCCCCGAGGTGGCCCCTCTGAGAAGGGTGGTGTGTGCAGAGGGGCAGACGGGCTGCTGGGTGGCGTGTGCGGGATCGGGAGCGGCAGAGAAGGGACCAAGGGGCCGGGAGGTCTGATGGGTGGGGCGGCGGAGTAGAGGGGCACCCAGTGGCCTGGGGAGCGCACAGAGGGGGAGGCAGCCGGGTCCCGGGTGGTGGGCCGGCCATAGCAGGGGCTTCCCAAGGAGGGGGCCCTAGGAGCCTTAACAGCCCGCAGAGTCCAGGGCGCACGGACTGGAGGAGCTGGAGGATGCAGGAGTCTGGGCAGGGACCAGAGGGGAGACGATGGAGCCCGGGGTCCAGCTTCCCTCCTCCGTGTAACCTGCCCCTCTCTCCACCCGCCAGGCCTCAGCCACCTCCGGATGCTGGTGCTGCCGCCCCCCTGCCCTCAGCCCCGGGCGCTGGCCAAGGCGGAGGCCATGGAGGACCCGCGCCCTGGGACAGGCCGGTCCCCAGAACCCGGACCTTCCTCCTCCGCAGGATGCCCCCCGCCCTCCTCCGCTCCGAGGCCCAACCACTACCTGCTCATTGACACGCAGGGCGTCCCGTACACCGTGCTGGTGGAGGAGGAGGCTCCGAGGCAGCCGGGGCCAGCGGGGACCTCAGCCCAGAAGAAGTGCTACAGCTGCCCCGTGTGCTCCCGCGCCTTCGAGTACATGTCCTACCTGCAGCGCCACAGCATCACCCACTCGGAGGTGAAGCCCTTCGCGTGCGACACCTGCGGGAAGGCCTTCAAGCGGGCCAGCCACCTGGCGCGGCACCACTCCATCCATCGGGCCGGCGGGGGGCGGCCCCACGGCTGCCCGCTCTGCCCGCGCCGGTTCCGGGAGGCGGGCGAGCTGGCCCAGCACAGCCGGGTTCACTCTGGGGAGCGCCCGTTCCAGTGCCCGCGCTGCCCGCGCCGGTTTATGGAGCAGAACACGCTGCAGAAGCACATCCGGTGGAAGCACCCGTGAGCCGGGCCGCAGGGCACCCCTGGTACCGTGGGATCTGGGGGAGCCCGGACTCCTGCGGTTCTCAGACACCCGGAGGGCACCCGAGGCTGGGCTGTGGGGCCCTGGACACAGACACGGACCCACCTGCTGCGGAGGCCAAGCCCCGCGGAGGGAGGAGCTCCGGAGTCACCGCGGGTCCCCGCGTTTTGGAGACAAGACGGGAACAAGACCTCAGTTCTCAGAGTGGAGGCCTCCAGCCTCAGCGACACCGGCTGCTCCAGGCTGGGCCCTGACAGGGGCCGTGGGGGAGGCCGCTGGGCGTGGACATTCTCTGGCCTGAAGTGTGGTTGGGGGCCATCGGGAACCCACTCCATCTCGCTGAGGCCTCCATGCGGATGTTGGGGGCGGGGCTCCAGACCTGGCCGCCCCCCCCCTTCGCCCCCTCCCCCCCACTCCAGCCAGGGACTGAGAGTAGTCACCCAATAAACCCGTTTTCTACTTTGAGCACTAGAAGCTTCTTTTTGGACCGAGGCTTGGTCAACCCGCTGCCCGGCAGGGAGACTCAGCCAGTGCCTGGTCCAGTGGGCCTCAGCTTGCCTGACGGGGAAGGGGCCAGTCTGTGCTTGGCTGCTCAGGACCTGTGTCATAGGCAGTGGTTTTTTAAAAAATAATGTAATTTTTTTTACTGATTCCAGAGAGGAAGGGAGATAAAAACATCAATGATGAGAATCATGGATTGGCTGCCTCCTGCACGCCCCCCACTGGGGATCGAGCCCAGAAGCCAGGCATGCGGCCCTGACCAGAATCGAACCCGGACCTCTGGCTCCTAGGTTGACGCTCAACCACTGAGCCACACCAGCCGGGCCTATGACTTCTTTTAAAAGACTTTTGATTGATTTTGAGAGAGAGAGAGAGAGGAAGGGAGAGGGAGAGGGAAAGAGCGAACCATCAATGTGAGAGCAAGCATCAGTGGGCTGCCTCCTGCACGCCCCCTATCGGTGGCCAAGCCTGAAACGCCAGCCCATGCGCCCTGACTGGAAATGAAGAGGCACCTCTCCACGCTCGGGAGGATGCCCAACCAACCCTCCCGCCAGCCAGGGTTCATTTGTGACTTCTTCTTTTTGTTTTTAATATATATATTTTATTGATTTTTTATAGAGAGGAAGGGAAAGGGATAGTTAGAAACATCGATGAGAGAGGAACATCGACCAGCTGCCTCCTGCACACCTCCTACTGGGGGTGTACCCGCAGCCAAGGTACATGCCCTTGACCGGAATCGAACCCGGGACCCTTCAGTCCGCAGGCCGACACTCTATCCACTGAGCCACACCGGTCAGGGCCATGTGTGACTTCTTAATGGCCGATTCCATCCTACTATCTTGAATTCTCCGCCCATGAACCTGTAGTGTGAAAAACACCCATCTAGGGCAGATGCCTCCCTTGGACTTAAAAAAAAAAAAAAAAAAGTCCTGCCCTAGCTGGTTTAGCTCAGTGGGTAGAGCGTTGGCCTGCACACCGAAGGGTCCTCGGTTGGATTCTGGTCAAGGGCACCTACTTCAGTTGCAGGCTCCTTCCCAGTTGGGCCCTGGTCGGGCTCGTGCAGGAGGCAACCCATCCATGTGTTCTATCACATATTTCTCTCTCTCTCTCTTCCACTCTTTCTAAAAACCAATGGAAAAATATCCTCGAGTGAGGATTTAAAAAGTAAATAAAAAATCCTCACTCGAAGATATGTTTTTCATTGATCCTAGAGAGCATCTGTTACCTCCTGTGTACGCCCCGACCAGGGATCAAAACCTGGGCATGTGCCCGGAGAGGGAACGGAAGCCCAGACCCTTCCACGCAGGGGAGGGCGCGCTAACCAGCGGGCCACACGGCCAGGGCGCTCCCAGGTTTTGGCGAGGCTGCCACTTATTAGTACTGGGGAGCGGGTAGGAGCGGGCACAGCCCTCTGTGTCGCATTCATCCAGCCTCCCCCCCCCCCCCGAACCCCTGCAGGGTTCACGCTGTGCTCCCGGGAGGGCTGGCAACGCTCCCAGGGCTTGGCGGCTCCGGGCGAACGGGAGGAGGAGAGGCGGGCGGAGCTGCCGCGGGCGCGGGATGAGCCCCCGCTTCTCCAGGAACCTTTCTGGGCCGCTGCGCGGTGCCGGGCGCAGTGCGGGGCCGCGTCGCTTCCCCCGACCCGGTTTTGAGCGGAAGAACGAACAAGCCAGCCGCGCCCGCTCCGCAGCGGGCAGAGAGCCTCCCGGGGCCTGACCTCCGGTGGCGCTAACGGCTAACGGAGCCGACCTGCATCTCGAGCCCCGACGGTGGCTGCGCGCGGGGCGGGGCGTTTGCGCGTGACGTCACTGCATCCTGCCCACTTTACAGGTGAGTAAACTGAGCCGGGAGCGGCGGCGGCCGGGGGTCCCAGGTCTGCACGTGCCGGAGCCAGTCCTTACCCGCGGGGGCTGGGGGTTCCAGGCCCCTATTTGCAGGGGGGGGGGGCAACTCCCTCTCCAGGGTCCCGGGGGCCGTGGGTCTCCGGGGATCGTTTGGGGACCCTCCCCGGCCTTTAACTTTCCTGGCTGTGCCCCACTCTCCCCCGCCCGCCTTGGTGCGCGGCCAGCACCCGGGGGACCCCCGCAGCCAGCGGCTCTCCAGGAATCGGGAATTTCACGACGTTCCCTGCCCGGGCCTCGCGGAGGGCGGGGGCGGGGGCTGCAAGGGGCCATCGCGCAAGTGCGGCCCCGGTCTCCGCCGCATCCCGCGGTCCTCACCTGGGGCCGGGGCTACCGGGGGGAGGCGCGCCGAGCGGCGGATCCGGGCTGCGTCCCTGCCCGCCTCGCCGCCCCCGCCGGTGGGTGGGCGCTTCCCTCCGCTCCCCGCGGCGCGGTGCAGACGCTCCCCGCCGCCGGGCATGGGCGCCGCCGCCGCGGTCGGTTCCCGGGCCGGATTCCGCGCGCGGGTGGGTGAGCGCGGGGCCCGGGCAGCTGCGGGTGGCGGGCGGGCGGGGGCCTCGTCTATACCCGCGGGCCGGCGCACCCCATGTGGGGACCTCTGGCCACCTTCGCCCTCCTCCCACCCGCGGGACAAAGGGCGGGGGGAGCATCCCCACGCGTGACCTTCCCCCGCACTGCGCACGCGCCCAGCCTCCCACCGCGGGAAGGGGCATGCTTGCTCCCGCGAGTGCGGGGGAGGCACCCCCACCCCGTGCCTGGAAGTTGGGGTCGTCTCCCCACGCGCCTCTCGGCCCCGGGGTGACCCCTTCTGGCCAGGATGTCCCCTCCACGGCCCCAGCCGGCCCCGCGCCCCTGCCCCAGCGCCCGTGGAGCGGTCCCGGAGTTTGGGCTCCCGGAATCCTCCCTCACCAGCCCCGAGGGCTCTGGGTTCCCCCCTCCATCAGACCCAGGAGCCCCTCCCCCCAGTCCCGGGAGCCCATCTGTGGCCGCTCTTTCTGTCCAGTGTCTCTGAGGTGCTCGGCGGCCCGGGTCCGCGGGAGGCCGCGCCATGAGCGACCGCAGCAGCCGGAGGAGGACGCGTGAGGAAGCGGGACCCTGCCCCACCCCCGCCCTCTCCTCCCCAGGGTGGGGCCTGGTTCCGGGGGGCGGCACTTCCCTGGGCCGACCCCCCTCTCTTCTCCCCAGTGAAGAAGGACGATGAGGCCTTCGAGATCTCCATCCCCTTGGAGGGGACGCCCCACCTGGACCCGCAGCTCTTCTACAGCCTGAGCCCCTCCCGGGGGAGCTTCGAGGGTGAGCTGGGGGGCGGGGACAGGGAGGCACTGCAATCAGGGGGGGTGCAGGGCCCTGGAGGCCGGGGTGTGACCAGGGCCCCCGCTGCCCTAGAGCCTCCAGAGGCGGCGTCCCCCACCGCGGCCCTGATGAGCGGCGTCAGGGCCCAGCTGCACATGGCCCTGGAGAGGAACTCCTGGCTGCAGAAGCGCATCGAGGACCTGGAGGAGGAGAGGGACTTCCTGCGCTGCCAGCTGGACAAGTTCATCTCCTCTGCGCGCATGGACGCAGGTGAGGCGCCGGGAGCAGCGCCCTCCTGGACCCACTGCTGGGCCCAGGCCCCCCGCCCGACACTCTGGCCCACACGCCTGCTCTGGGGGCCAGTGGGGACCGGCCTCTACCTTCTGCTTAGGCCGTGGTGTCTCCCGGACCCCAGCTTCCTTCCTGCTTCTGCGGATCAGCAGGACCCTGGGCCCCATCCCTTCCCCCAGGTTCAGGGCTTTCTTTTGCCAAATCTTTTCATTTTTTAAAATGTTTTTATTGATTTCAGAGAGAGGGAGAGAGAGAGAAACATTAACGATGAGAGAGAATCACTGATCGGCTGCCTCCTGCACACCCCACTGGGGATCGAGCCTGCAACCCAGGTATGGGCCCTGACTGGGATCAAACCGTGACCTCCTGGTTCCTAGGTCTGCGCTCAGCTATTGTTAGCAGCGATTTGGAGAACCCCTCCTGTATGCCCCCCCTTCTGGGTACTCAGCCCCCAGCTGGCTCCTGTTCAGGCTCCCACTTCCCTCTCTGTGATTCCACCACAGCCTGGGCAAGGGCCCACTTTTTCCCACGATGGGTGTTATTGGGGACCCCTGTGCTCCGGAACCACCTTGAGCCTGGGGTGCTGAGACTACTGCTCTCCCCACAACATGGGAGCCTCCCAGGATGGCGCCAACACGGGACCTCCCCCAGCTGACCTCCTGGGGGCCGGCGGAGAGCCTCAGCACTCCCTCCCGCAGGGGGAGGCAGGCGCCTGCCATGCCAGCCCACCTGACCCAGAGCCGGAGATTTTGCTCAAGGCCTTAACCCCCCACCCCGACAAGGCCTTGCCTGCCTCCAGGGTGCCCGGACTGCACTCTTCGGGAGGTCCCATTAGGACTCCAGAAAGACCCTCGTCCTAAACCCCACATGGTCTCAGACTTCCCCGAGGCCCCCAGCCCAGCGCTGGCTGCCCCCCAGGCCCCTTGCCACGAAGTGTAGGAGTCAGCCGAGCATCCTCACCCAAGCGCCACCCACTTCTGTCCCCAAAGCCCAGCTGACCGTCCTGTATCCAGCCGTCCAGGTAGGGACCTCAGCATCTGGGGACCCGTGTGATGTGACAGCTGCCCCCCCACCCCCCCCAGACAGGCGGGCCTCTTGCCGCCGCCCCCCTCCTGGTCCTGAAGGTCACCTGCGTCCCTTTCTCCCCACCTCTCCCCAGAGGACCACTGCCGGGTGAAGCCGGGGCCCAGGCGGGCTGAGGGCGAGGCCTCGGACCCGGAGTCGGCCGCCTCCTCGCTCAGCGGAGTGTCCGAGGAAGGCAGCAACCCCGAGAGGCGGCGGCAGAAGCAGAAGGGAGGTGCCGGCCGCAGGCGCTTCGGGAAGCCCAAGGCCCGGGAGAGGCAGCGGGGTGAGGCGGGCGCGGGGGCGAAGTGGGGGGGCCGGGGTGGGGCTTGCTGTGTCTTCAACAGACCTGGCCTCCGCCTGTGGTCCCGGCTGCTCGTTACCTTCGGGTCCAGCTTCCCCAGGCCTCCGGCCAGCTCTAGAGCTCCTCCTCCTCCTCCTCCTCCTCCCCCCCGGGGCCTCCCTCCCAATCCTGCCTCTATTTCTCCCACCTGCTCTAATTCCTGTCGCCTCTGCCGTGTTGTCCTGGCCGTTCCTGCATGAGGCTCCTCACCCGTGTCTTCCCGTCTCCCTCCGCTCCTTCGCTCTGTCTGAGCCCCGGACCCCGTCTGTCTCTTGTCCCCACCGGCCCCCCAATGCCAGCCTCTCAGCGCCTCCCCCCCCCTTGGCCCCGCAGTGAAGGACGCGGACGGCGTCCTCTGCCGCTACAAGAAGATCCTGGGCACCTTCCAGAAGCTCAAGAGCATGTCGCGGGCCTTCGAGCACCACCGCGTGGACCGCAACACCGTGGCGCTGACCACGCCCATCGCCGAGCTGCTCATCGTGGCGCCCGAGAAGCTGGCCGAGGTGGGCGAGTTCGACCCGTCCAAGGAGCGGCTGCTCGAGTACTCGCGCCGCTGCTTCCTGGCCCTGGACGACGAGACGCTCAAGAAGGTGCAGGCCCTCAAGAAGAGCAAGCTGCTGCTGCCCATCACCTACCGCTTCAAGCGGTGATCGGCCCCGGGCCCCCCGACACCCCGCCCCGCCCGTGCATGGGCGGGGCACCCCTCGCCGGGCCTGGGGTGGGCAGCGTGCTTCTGCGTGTGCCTCCCCCGCCCCCCCTCGCAGACCCCCACTCGCACCCCAGGCCCCTGGTACCGAGCCCTGCCCTCCTTGCTTTCACCATGCCCAGCATCCTTCCCCTTCCCAGGCCTGGGGTGTCTCCTCCCTCAGCCGGGCTCACGGGGGCGATCCTGCTCGTTCCTCCCGCCCTCACCGGGCCCTCCCTCCGGGAAAAGGGCGCGGACACTGTACAGAACTCGGTCTCCGCCCCAGCCCCGACCGAGGACCCGCATTCCGGGCCACCCCCTAGTCCACACGAGACAGAGAATTAATTATTCAGAGAATTTAAATTAAAGAGACGATAAAATTTGGAATAAACTAGGCCCCGGCCTCTTCCTGGGCGGGGGTGGCCGTTGCCACGGAGACGGTGACAGCGCCTTGGGGGATTCCAGGAGGCGGGGCGTCAGACGGGAGACCGGGAGGTCGGGGAGACAGGGTGTCATTAGCCCCTGAGGCAGCGGTGGGAGGGGAAAAGGCGCAAACCAGCGGTGCTCAACCTGTGGGTCGCGACCCCTTTGGCAGTCGAAGGACCCTTTCACAGGGGTTGCCTAAGACCATCCTGCGTATCAGATATTCACATGACGATTCATAGCAGTAGCAGCATTACAGTTATGAAGTAGCAACAAAAATAATTCTATGGTTGGGTCACAACATGAGGAACTGTATTTAAAGGGCCAGAAGGCTGAGAACCACTGGGCCGTAAACACTACCCGCTGGGGTGCCCGGCCCGGAGGCGCGGCGGCAAGAGGCGCGACTCAATGACCTCCAGCGGAGGCGGCCACCGGGGAGACGGGGAACCTCCAAGAGGCTTTCGTCGGGAGGCGGTGATGCAAGCCCGTCTCCTGGAGTGTCCCCTACGCAGCCGGCTGCGCCTGCGCGGCGGGGACAGCGCGGCGCGGAAACGGTTGCTACGGCAACCAGCAGAGGGCGGCCTCGCTTAACTGTCAGGAATTCGGAACTTTGGCTGGGGGAAGGGAAAGTCTCGCGCATGCGCACTGAGGATTCTGGGGGGGGGGCGTCTCCCTCCTGGAGCCCGGATAAGCCTCGCCTAAGACCGACTTCTACGCAGGCGCACGAGCCGTCTCGCGCCCCAACGCGTCCACTCTGCGCAGACGCACGAAGCCGCGCTGCCAACCTCCGCAGCAGCCGCGCGCACCCGTCACCTCGCCGGCTGCTTTTGTCTCGCGCCACCTTCTTAAGCCTTCCACGAGCTCGGTCTTTCTTTTCCTCCACTCGCCCACCTGGAGCGCCAGGTGGGGATCCGGGACGCCGCCCGGTCCCCGGATCCCTTCCCTTGACCCACCTCGTCTCGTCCTCCCTCCCTTTTCGGTTCCCGACGACGGAAGGAGCCGAAGCACCGACGGAAAAAGCCGAAGCAGTCCTTTTCCCGAAGTGGTGGCGGAAAGAGCCGAAGTTCTGCGAGAGGGGAGGAGTGAGGTAGTGGAATCTCCGGAAAGAGCCGAAGCTTGGAATCGAGCTTAATCCCTTGCGCGGCCCGAGGGCGAACACCAGAAACCTTCGGGGAGTGCTGAGTCCCAGGACGGTTAAGCCTGTCGGAATTAGCGGACTGTTCGGACCGGACCGGCGGAGTAGAGCTGGGAGCCCCTGCGGAAGCGGCCGAAGACGGACGGTTTGAATTGTCGAAAGAATCCGAACCCTTGGCAGGGGTGGGGGGGCACTGGGCGCAGACGAAGGCGAGGACCCACGGAAGCACCCGAACGTGGAAGAGCTAATTTCCGAAAAGTTACGACAACCTGAGAACCCGGCAAAGCCCTCGCTTCGGGCGTTTTCGGAATAAGCCGAAGCCGCTGCGGCCGATTCCTTCCTCTACTGCTCGGAAATAGCTGACGCTCTTTGGGACCAGGATCTGGGGAAGGGGCACCTCGCGGGCGGGCGGGAGGGCGGGAGGGGCGAGGGGCGGAGCCGGGGCGGGGCCGGGCAGGCGGGGCTCGATTAGGCAGGAGGCGGCGGCGCGCCGGAGGCGGCCGGAAGTAGCCGAAGCGAGCGGCGGAAGTAGCCGAAGCGGCTAGAGCGGGCGGGCGGCAAGGCGAGGTGAGCGCTGCACCGGGCCCTACGCGGCCGCCTCAGCATGTCGGACTTCGACGAGTTCGAGCGGCAGCTCAACGAGAATAAGCAAGGTGAGGGCGCCGGGGACGCAGGGCGGCGGGCGGGGCGGCCCCTGGCTTCCCTCTGTGTCCCCCGCCATTTTCCCCCTAGCTTCCCCTCCTCTCACGGCCGCGCGGCCACCCCCACCCCCACCCCCACCCCCCCGCGGCGCGCGCCTCGCTCACGTGACCGCCCGGCGTGCCTCGGCGCGCGGCCGGGGAGGGGGCGGCGGGCTCGGGGCAGCACGCATGCGCGCCGCGCGTGGCTCTGCGCTCCGCTCCGTCCCGGGCGGAGGCGGCGCGGCGCGGCGCAGCGCAGGCCCGCCGCGTGTCCCCCCCGGATCTATTTTTTACTAATCCCGGGAGGGGAGTGCGTGCGTACACATGGATGTACATCGGGCCCCGCGATCCATCTTTTCCTCGGCCGAGGCACTTCCGCTTCCGGCCGGGTCCGCGGCTCGGGTCTCTCCACGCCCCCTTTGTTCCAAAATGGCGGTTGTGAGGCCCCCCTTCACCCCCGCCGCCGCCACTTCACGTGGGCGCGGGCACGGCCGCGGCGGGGACCGGCTCTCCCTCCTCCCCCGCGGCCGCCACGTGTGCTGAGGCCTGCGGACTAGGCCGCGCGGGTTCCACGCTGTTGTTGGGGGACCTCGGGTCACGGCGTGTGACGTGGGTTGCCTCGTGAAACGGGCGCCCTGTGCTTTTTTTTTTGTTTGTTTAAACGTGGTGTGCCCCACGCGTCTTGCTTACACGCGGGCGGCGGCGGTGGCCGCAATGTGGCGTGTTAGCCCCTCATCTTCCCCGCTAGACACAAACTCCATGGCTTGTCGGGTCCCGGATGGGGGTCCCTAACTGTAAACATGTCCCCGTAGAGGCGGGGAAACGGAGGCTCTGGAAAGGGGGGCCCGGCCCAGCTGGGTGCCGTGCGGGGCCGACAGGTGGAGGCGCCCGGGATTCTGGAGTCGGGAGGCCCGTCGGGCGTTTAAAAGCCCCTCGGGCCTCAGTACTTCCGTTGGGGAGCGAGGACCCCGAGGGAGGCTCATGCCCGGGCGTGAAGGGCTGGAAGGGGGGCCGGTGCCCCTTTGGGCCCAGCCCGAGTCGGGGGTGAGGGCCTGGGCGAGCGGACCGCGCCGGGGGTGGGGGGCCCGGGGCCGAGCGCCGGGCTGGTTCCGTGCGGGACCCGCTGACCCTCGGGCGGAGCGGGCTCTGGGCTCACGGCTGCGCGTCTCCTGCCCGCGGGTGCCCTGCTCCCCTGGGCGCGGGCTGCGGGGTGGGGAGGGAGGCGGCGAAGGCGCCGGGGACGCGTGCCCGCCGTGCCAGGCCCTCTGGGCTCCGCACGGTCGTTGTAGGCGGGCCTGGCGCAGCCTGCGGGCCGGGACGCAGGAAGGTTAGGGCCTCCGGGCCCGCGGGGCTGGGTGAGCGGTGACGTGGGCGCAGGTGCGGCCTGTGTGGCGGACATGGGTGCCCAGGAGTGGGCTTCACACTGCAATCAGCTCGCGCAGGGGGCGCACCGCCGGGGAGGGCGCTCTCAGACCCCTGCCCGCCCTCCGCGCCTCCAGAAGGGGACCCGCGTGTCGGGGGGTCGGTGCTGAGCGGGGAGCTGACCGCCCGGCTCGGCTGGGGGGCCGCGCGCTCCCCGTGTGCTGGCGCCTGGTACCCGAGGCCCTCGCCCTGGGCTGGGGCGCTGTCCCCACCGGTGGCCACAGCGATTCGCACACCCGAGCTCCCGGTGCCCAGGGTCGGTGTGTCGAGGGGGACGCGCTGCCCACGTGCTGCCCGTCTGTGGGTCTTTGTCTCTGAGCCAAGCCCCTCCCGAATTCACCCGACCCGGTGCACCTGGGTCTGCGGGCATCGGCGTCCTGCTCCGCCTCCAGGGCGGCAGGTGGCCCTGCTTCCCGGGGGGTCTGAGCCGGGGGCGGGAAGACCCCTGGGTGGAAGCCGGCCGGGCTCAGCCACGCTCTCAGGCACAGAGTCAGAGTCCCGGGTGCCGACGGCCTCGGCCTGACCCTCCCCTCCTGCTTCTGCTTTTTGATTCATTTCTGATTTTTTGCCGTCGAGGAGGTAATCGCGTTGTTAGTGGCCCATCCAGGCCCCGGCTCTGCCGCCCCGAGCTCCCTGACGGGGCAAGGCTCATGTTCGGCCCCTCCGCTTCCCTGCTTTCCGGCCTTCCGGCCAGTCATGGGGCGCTCTGCCTCAGTTTCCCTGTGACAGGAGCCCCCAGCAGGGTTTCCCCAAAGGAGCAGTGAGGCTTGAGTGTGAGTGAGATGCTAGCCCAGGTCCCGGGTTCGGGGAGCGCCCTGTGCCGGCTGCTGTCTCCCCTTTCGTGGTGCGTATTTCCCCGGTGTCGGTGACTGGAGTTGCGGTGCAGGCACCGAAGGCCCATAATTAATCCCGCCAGAAAGTGCCGACAGCAGTGGTTGCCCCCTGCCCTGTCCCGAGCGCGTGAGCCTCAGGAGCACGCTGACGGCTGACGGGGTGGAGGACCAGCGTCTCAATCCAGGCTCGGGGTTCAGCCTGCACCCCTGGGAGGCCGAGGGGTCTGTAGGGAGCAGAGGGCTCTGTGGCCTTGCTGGGAGGGCGTGCTCTCCTCCCGGGCGAGGGGGTGCTCAGCGGAAGCGGCCCCCCTCCAGGGCTGTGCCCCCCGAGGGCTGTGCGCTGGGCTCTGAGGCAGGGGGTGGTTGGGGTTCAGGTCTGCGGGGGCAGAAAGAGGGGCCTCGGGAGGGCGCCTGGTGCCGGAGGACGTCTCCTGAGGGGCCGCGGTCCGGTCCCTCGGGAAAACATCATTGGGTCTCTTGGTTCCCCAGCCTCTAGCCCTGCCCCCCTCAGGGACGGCCCTGGGGTCAGGCCCTCAGCCTGGAGGGGACCAGGAGCCAGCCTCCTCTGTCTTCTCTGGCTCCCCAGCTCCTCCTGAGCAGCCTCAGGTACCTTGCACCCTGGGGGCACCTCCAGGCCCTGTCCCCGCAGGTAACCGCTCCCGCCCCAGGTCCCCAGGGCCCCTGGACTGGCTGTGGACCCAGGCCGCCTGCCGCTGCCCCGCGGTCGCATCCTGGCCCCGTGGGGGTGGCCTCCCTGGGGCTGGGGCCTGGCCCCCGTGTGTGGGCGGGCAGGGCCGCGTCCTCCCTCAGCTCATCCTCCCCCCCCTTGCCCAGAGCGAGACAAGGAGAACCGGCACCGCAAGCGCAGCCACAGCCGCTCTCGCAGCCGGGACCGCAA